CATGGATAAATGAAGGCCCTGAGTGCACGTTTATTCACAATCCGGAAATAGATAAAAACACGGTCCATCATCAGTATGACTGCCGGTACACTACGGCCGCTACGTGCAGCCAGCGCAACCACGATCGACCCTTGCCGGCCGTCTGGCGACTTCTTCCGGTAACATCAACATGACTTAACATCATTCTATATAACATGATCGAATATGGACAATTTACTCAAAAACCATGAACTATACTCGGTGAACTAAGAATTACCGTGGCGTGCGCACCTTGCGCTGCCTACGGCTTTAAGCCGTTTCCTCGACCAAACCTCAACTTTCTTCGGTAACTTTTGAACTAACTGAGCATGAACTAACATATAATAATCATATAAACATGTATTGTTCGGAATTTGCCGAATAAAATCAATTATCACTCGGTGATGGCTTAACACGGCCTAACCGAGCATCATTTGAACTTCTTCATGAATTACTAAAAATTTTGAATATACTGACCCTTACATGACCTTAATAATATTAGAAGAAGGTCTGAACATAATTACCTCCTTGTATGCTCGAACAATTGTGCCAAATCCTTGCGTAATCACTTGTCTGAACAAGCTAATGCGTGCGTGCGTATGGCTATTTTATTTCTCTTGATCTTACTTAATATTTGCTTAGTTTTTATAGCTTACATAATAAGCTATCTTTTACCCCAACATGCTGATTATATAGACGAGAAAAAAGTGGTAATTTTGGGTGAAATTGAAGACAAGAAGTGGCCAATTAGAGAGCACCACTTGTCGTGCACTTGTGGCTTTAGGTGGCCTTTTGCCTTGCTTACTCATCAACTCTAATGCTTAGTCACCTTCCCAACTTACCTCAAGCCTCCACATGTACCATGCAATGATGGTAATTCACGTGAAAATGGAGAACATAACTTACGGCTATTTGCTTAGGGCAAAACTTGATCATGCACTAATTAAACTTGCTTTGCATAAGCTAAGCATTGTCGTGCTTATAGGATATAATGGATGTGCATGACCCTTGATTAGGTTAAGCTAAGCACAATTAACTCTATTACATGATAATGCACGACCATTAATTCCTAATTAAACATGATTAAGCTCGGTAAAATATTTATCGAGCGATTAGACATGGATTAATTATCGGAAAATTATTCCGAACATAAACGTGATATTCGAAAATTAATTCGAACGTTCTTGACGTGGATAAATAGTCTAAATGATAACGCTTAATAAAATAAATATTTCGGAACTAAACATGATATTACATTAATAACATGACGGGATATTACATCCATTGTGTTGCAGTTGCGCTAGGCTTGGTGGGATTCTATGGACGGTTGTGGTTCGAGCAACTTGCGGCTTCGGAGTCGCATTTGTTGGGGCCGAGATGCCGATTGCAGCCCGTCTCCGTCTTTCTCTGGTTTTGGGTTCGAGGGGGGACCGATGCTACTGGATTTGCTAGTGGTGTTAGTGGGTTCGCAGCAACGGTGGTGTGGGTGATGAATTTGGGCTTCTCCAGCTGGGGGTGGCATGTTATCTCGATGTGTTTTGGAACATGGGTTTCGTCATTCGCTAGGCGGGTTAGAAATTTTGGGGGCGATTTCGTGGGCTGCATATTTTCATTGGGGTCGACTGGTTTTGGCCTCGGGTTCGGCTTGGCTTTGTCGCTGGGAAGGACTCGTCTATTTCATCTATTTCTTGTTTTTGTGTTGTCTGTTTTGTATTTGTAATTGTGTTTTAGGTCTGTGCCTTTGGCCTCAGTTAGCCCGAGTGTGACCTTATTATCCTGTTGGGATAGTACACTCGGGCATTACCCTATTGGGGTTGTTTTTTTTAGTGTCCTTGTGTTTTTTGTTTTGTCGAGTATTACCCTGTTGGGGTCGACTTCTAGGCGGTCTTTTAACCTGTCCTCCCTTTTTTATTCAGTTATTGGTTGTCTGTATTTAGCCGTTGGCTATTTGTATTCAGCCGTTGGCTATTTGTATTCAGCTTGTAGCTGTCGTTTTGCACATTTGTGCGCATTCATATAATATCTCTATCGTTTCAACAAAAAAAAAAAAGAAGTCGCCGATTGTTGCCTCCATTTTTTTTCTCAAACCTCACTGTCGGTGAAATTTTCCCAAGCCCAAGGCCTACAGAAAAAATTGGAAATGATAGCTCGGGTGATTGCATAACACACAGGAAGAGGATCGTGCATAGTAACTGATACTAAAATAATGATGCAAAATCCAGAACCTATTGATGTATGGAAATATTTTTATGCGTACCAAGTCGAAGTAAGTTCATGTAGAGAGATGGTCGTCATCCTCCAATCTTCAACTAGGGTTTGTGATTGTGGTCACCGACTTTTTTTAAGCTCCTTGGAAGTGTCTCAACATTGAAGACGAGAGCTTCAATCATTAATGCCTTTTTTGAGATAAATTTGTTGAGTTATGAGTGTAATGTGGGAATGTTTTCTGCTTTGTGTGGGTAATATGGAAATTTGGTCAAGTGCACACTGTACAAATACTAACAAATCTTACCACCAACCCAAAATTAAATAATCTGAAATAGTCAAGATTATGAACTGTTGGTCACGGGTATACCTGTCAAAACAGGCTTAAGGGTCGAACCAACCCACACTGCCAAAGGGGGCGGGTTGGTCAGAATTTTCTAAGTTCGTTGGGCAGCGGGTCAAAACGGGTCAATCCACGCGGGCAAACATACATATATATATATATATATATAGAAAATTCCTTTGTGCATTTGATCGTGCACCACAACCTCAAGTCCTCAACTCAACAAACTCAAATTTACCAAACAAAAAAATCGTCTCTCATTCTAAAAACTGGGATTCCGCCCTTTCTGCATCCTCTCAAAATCACCCAAACCACCAAACCCTAAATCACCCTCCACTCCTTCGACGCCATCCGCCCTTGCATGCGCCGCCTGCAGGCAGCAGGCGTTCGCCCTCGTCGCGCGCTGCTCAGGTGCCCAGGAGACTGGAGATTAGAGCCATGGCTCTTTTCAACCCAGTTGTAAATAATAAGTACCCACTTAATATTTTCGTCATGCGTAGGGGTGGATCCATAGTTACCTTAGGTGAGGCCTAGGCCCCACCTGAAATTTTTTACATTTTTTTATTATATAATTGTAGTAATATATATTAACAAAGTAAATAGAAATAGAATAGTTTTACAATAACAATTTTGAAATGAAATTTTATCAAGCAGGTTTTTTTTTCTGTTCTTTCGTACTAAATTTTTCTTATTATAATGTCTTATTCAATGTTGTTTCGGGAAATAAATCTATAATAGCATTACATAATACAATATTATAGGAGACAATTATTGTCAGTGCAGATTAGTATCAACTATTAAATCAACATAGGAATTGAATTATATTATTTTTTTTTTATCCAACACATTGAGAAATATTAGTGTTTTCCTACCCACGATGGGTACAATTTAATATGTGCATTGATTGTAGAAAAATAATATACGTTGTATGACGAAATTGAAAAATCATGAGATCTTGGGATTATTTGTAACACCCCACCTTACTAGTAAATCAGAGTAGCGCATTTAATCGCAAAGTCTTTGAAAAATAAAACATTTCTACTTTGCGAAACTGATTTGGGGTGCTACCGTGAAAATCTTTACTTAACTTTAGAAAACCGTTGTTTTAACTTATTAAAAACGTCCGGTTATTTAAAAACTTTATTTTCTGAAAAGTTCGTCAAAATACGATAAATTCGACAAAACCATCAAGCATCGTCAAAAGATAGTCAAAACGTAAGCGGAAGCGTAAATTTTAGTTATACAGTCTAAAACACATATATATAAATGTCCTGAATGTCCCGAGCTGCTCCGTCATGTCACACTCCTGGCCCGACCTGCTGACCTGAAAAAAAAAATAAGACTGGGGCGTGAGCACTAGGCACTGTGCTCCGTGGAAACTCATACTAATGTAAAACATCGTAAATAATAACCATATCATGAACTAAGCATATATATCTGAACTGAACTGATACCGGTCTGAACTCGCGACCGAAGTCACGTACTCGCGACCGAAGTCACGTAACTGAATCTGCTCGGCACAAACTAATGCCGCTCGGCACAAACTAATGCCGCTATCTCCCGGCACAAACTAATACCGGACCATGTGCACACTCTAGTGGTTAGATAAGGCCACTAGAACCCAGAATGGACCGGCGGCCATTCCGAGCGGATACTGAAAATACATACCTCGAACATGGTAGAGCAATTATAAACAATGTAGTACTTAGTCTGAGTCCCCACCTGAACTGCTGAACTGATAGGTAGTGCTGATGCCTGCTAAACTGAAAATAATATAAACAATTACTATTGACTACGCTCTTAACTGATTAATCTCGTTAAGATGCTCTATTTAACTAAATCTGATTTTTAGACTTATCCGGATTAACCGGAACTGAATTAATCTGAACTGATTTGGACATGATTTTTCTGAACTGAAATAATCCTGGAAAATTTACTGAAAATGACTCAAAATACTAAACCGGGCTAAAATGATGCTGAACCGGACAAAATGGAGCTGGACCGGTCCAGCCGGTCTGAACCGGTCTGGACCGGGTGGCGGTCCGGTCGAACCGGTTGCTGGCTGGCT